CCCCAAAACCCCAAAACCCCAAAACCCCAAATATTAGAGATCAATTTGAACAGGATTTTTATAAAAATAATGGGGATATTTAGGACACTTTAGCAAGAGTTGGTTCTTCTTGAGTGCTCTCATTGGTTTGTTGTTTTATTTCCTCTTTCTCTGAAAGTTTAGCTGCTCTCAGATCAGTAATTTCTACTTCTAAAATTGTTGGCTCACTAGCATTTGGTTCAACAGCTTCTGGTTTAGAATTTGTCAAATCCACAATATTTAGCTTTGAGTTATCTAAGACACTAGCCTCTTCCCTACCAACTTGAGCTGGATCCTCAAGTACTTTATCCAGTTCAATGTCAATATCTGCTATTGATGAAAGATTAGTGATTTCTTCATGATTTTCATTAATTGAGAGCTCCTCTGGTGGGACCACCGGTCTAATCTCCAACTTTGTGAATACTTTCTTCTTCACATCCTGCTGTTGCTTCTCTTGAGGATTACTCTCATTAAGTTGTCTACTCCTCAACTTATCTTGCTCGGCAGTTTCTAGATACTTTTTAGGCACATAGAATGAAATTGGCATATCAGCTGTAGAATTCCCCAATTTGTCTCTTCTTGATAGGATTCTTCCATTTAGTTCATCTTTGAGAAATTGGAGGCTGGAAGGAGCCTTCCTTTGGCAATTCTGGATATCGATGGCCATGATTTCCTGGGTGTTCTTGATGTCGCCTTTTTCCTTTGAAGCCGTGTCGAGAGCCAGGTTTGTGAGGCATCCTTTGGGGCTTTTGGTACTCGTAATTGGGCTGGTAAGCTGGGTAATGAGGATATTGAGGCTGTCCTTGGTTGTAGTAATTCATGTAAGGCCCTACACCTGGCTGTTCGTACCCGTTAGGGTAAGCATAACAATATTGGTCGTAATATGGATAAGCATGGACTTGATTGGGGTCTTGATAATAGCCATATCCACTCGGATTCCAGTATTGTCCAGGACTATTTGGAGGAGAGCTCTGCCAGTTTCTTTGCTCATTGTTCGATGATTTTGGGTAAGTATGATTCTGATAGGGATTCATTTATTAAACTTATTGTTTTTATTTTTCGCACTTATTGATGGCTTAATCTACTTTTTGATGGGGTATCTAATTTATTAAAACTTTTCAATATTTTGTAAAAATCGAGGGGTTTTGGGGTTTTGGGGTTTTGGGGTTTTGGGG